CTGGTGCAGCTCGTGCAAGTTGACGGCTTATGCTGCCTTCGCGTGAAGAACGGTGTGTACCAGCACAACCATGCGGTGGGGACAGCGCAGTTCAAGACGTACGCGGAGAACCGTAGGTTGGACGACACGGACACGAAGGATGCTGTGGACAGCATGGTGATGTACGGTAGAAAGCGCGCACGCATCTATGAGTATCTTCTGGGGAGAGGCGAGAACCTCGTCAAGAAGGATGTGGACAACATTGTGCAACGTGTTAAAGCAGAGATAAGAGGAGGGTTGAATGACGACGACGCTTGCGCCGCAACTCTCGCGGAATTCGCAGCTATTGACGGTAACGTAGTCACGGTGGGACGAAACTTGATGCGGGACACTCTGGTGTGATCAGTATGACCTCTAGACATATGTCGCGACATGGTTACTAGGTTTCCAGAGCTTTGCTTGTGGACTGTACCCACAAAACGAATCGGTAAGTCCTCCCATGTATTGTGCAATTATTTGTCCATGTATTGTCCATGCTTATTTTATTGTCATGCCCATGTATTGTGCGATTCTTGTCCATGTAATGTGCATTAGATACAACTACCAGCTTTTTACCTTCATGATGATAGACGACAATGGGCGTGGGCAGCCTGTACAACAGTCTTTGCTCGAACGAAACGCCGATTGGCAGATGTCCCGAGCGCTGGATCATCTATTTCGGATTGACGATAAGATTGGCGACAAGGTTCAAGTTATAATGGTCGACAAAGATCTGAATGAGATCCGCGTGTTGCGTCGGTACTTCCCTAAGTCGCGCGTGTTGATTTGCGTCTTTCACGTCATCAAATATCTCCGCACAGCGTCCAGGAAGCCAGAATATGGTACACTTTCGTCGGACGATCACGACGCCATCGACGCATTAGTCCACAACATGGTATATGCCTTAAGTTCAGAGATCTACGAGACCAATTGGACCTCCATGAAGGCATTTTGCACTAGGACTGGATATATGGTATTTTACAACTACATGGATGAAAACTGGAACACTTGTACGGAGATGTGGGTCATGTACCAACGCTCACGGTTGGCACATTTGCGCGTCCACACGAACAACCATTTAGAGAATTGGTTTGGGCATTTTAAGGACGGGGTAAACTCCAACATGACCATGACAGACACCGTGAAGGCCCTTGTGGGTGCTGATGCCAGGACTTCCAGTGAATACGTGTTCGACA